TTAGAGCAATAGTTTTATGGGAAAATTGATAACCAGCTAGCACTAAAATATACTTTACTTGTAGAAAATTCAGAAACTCCCAAGTGGAAAGTATTTTAGGGTATTACTCAAGTTTTTCTTGAGCATTTTAAAGGAAATGGAATATAATCAGCAATCCTGAAAGATATTTTACTTAGTCTCTCATAACCCCCAACCCCCATGATTATCTGAAAAATGGTACCTTCACTCTTAAGTGAAACTTTCCACCTGCCACTATTTCACACATTGTGCCAAGTAATAATTAGAACTTCTTTATTAAAAAGTAAAAACCTGTAACAAAACTGTTAGGAAAAGGGATTTGTTAGGAAAATAGGAGATTTACTAATTCTTCCCATTGTGTATCCTTAATCAAATGTACATATATTTAACCTGATCTTATCAGAAAATGAGAAATAACTAAATATACTAAAAAGACCTTTCACTCCTCAATGAAAATTAAAACATTAGTAGTAAAATTTACTGTTCATGAGACAGCATAACATAATGCTAAAAACATAAAATATACACTTGCAACTAAAGTAATGTTTCAGGAAGGCAATTACTAATAGTCACCTATATATCTTGATAAAAAATATCCTAAGAAGTGAATCAAACATGAATTTTACAACAAAGGAAGAAATTGCTGCGAGACCCCTCCTCTCCACTCTTGTTCCTTCAACACTAAATATAGCCAATAAACAGCTCTTAACAAAGAAATCGCCACAAATACTCAGAGAGCAGCATCATTCATGATAGCCAAAAAGTAGGTAAAATCCAATCTCCACCAAGTGACAACTAATAAACATTATGGGGTATAACTATGCAACAAATTATTATTTAGATATATTATTTCTCCCCCCCAAAAAAAATGAACTCCTAATATATGCGACAATATGGATGAACCTTGGAAATAAGCTAAGTGAAAGAAGCCAGTCACAAAAGAACACATAGGCCTGAGTTCTTTTATGGGATTCTATGGAACTAGCATAAATAGCAGTTGCCTGGAGCTAAGAAGAATGGGAGTATTGTGAGGTGGCAACTAAGGAATTAAAAGTATCTTTTGGGCCTGATAAAAATATTCTAAAACTGCTACTGGTGAAGATTACAATGTATATATAAAGAAACACTTAAAATACACTTTAAATGGTGATGTTATGAGATGTAAGATTTTATCTGAATAAACTAATTTCCGGCCCTCCTTGGTGGCACAGGAGGCTAAAATGCAGCACTATGAAGCTGTCTGTGGCCACTGCAGGGCAGCTTGATCGCTGGCCAGGGAGGTGACCCAAATGGCACACCAGACCTCTTTACTCACGCTCTGTTCCACTCATCAGTGTATTTTTGTTGATCTGCCTGTTCTGTTCCTTACTCTGTCTCTGGTGATTCAACTCAACCCTCATGAACTCAACCTACGTGAGCCCCAGGAATCCCAGTTCCTGTATGCATAACTAAGTGTTTTAAGAAAATAAAATAAAAATACAGGAAGAAATCTTCCCAAAAACATTTAAAAAATTAATTTCAAAAATTAAATTAAAAATTTGTCTGAGTAAATCATTTTAAACTTGCATCAAATCTTTAATTTTTTAAATTCTTCACCTTAGCATCTTCTATAGAAACTATAATCTTAACTCCAAATTTTAAATAATAATTGTCTTTCAGAGAATTTCACATTTACAAACTAAACAGAAATTTATTATAAGTCTAAAAACCCTTTTTTTATAACATATCTTCAGTAATATCAGAGTAACTGTACACAGAGTAATCTTACCAAGGAATTGTGTATGTGCTTTTTTTCAAATATTTATTTTTATGTATTTATTTATACAAGACTTGAGGGGTGTAGGCCAGTGGTACGGAGTGGGGAAGGTAAAGGGTTCACCAGAGATTGAGTGGAGAGCACAACAGGTAGATCCACTGAAACGCACTGCTAAGGGGAGCAGGAGGCAAGTCAGGAGAGGTCTGCTGCAGTATGTGGGTCAGGCCCTGACTAGATACTGCACTCACGCTGCAGTGGCTGGCAATAGATTGCCAGAGCTGAGACTTTAACCTCTGTGCCACCAGGGAGGCCTCCAAAGAATTATTTATTAATGTAACTTGCCAACCATTTCAATTGGTAATCAACTGAAATATAAAAGGTCTAATTATCTACTTTAAATGTATCTTGCAATGAATAATCCCAAGATTAATATTTTGAAATCAGAATTATTCTCTGGAGAGTACCATATGTTGATGTACTTATTAACAGTTCATTCTTTGTTGGTGCTAGGAAATACACTATGGTTTCAGTGTATCACAGTTAAACCATTCACTTGTTAAATGGCATCTGACTTGTTTCCATTTGGGGGCTATGACAAAATAAAAAACTTTGCTATAAAAGTTGCCTATCAGTTTTTGCCTGAAGATAAGTTTTTATTCTTCAGGTTCAAGAATGTAATTGCTAGTTTGTTGAGTCAAGTGCCAATTTTAATATAAACAATAGTCATGTTTATGAAAAGAAATAAACACTATCATCAATTTCCATTCTCCACTTATCTTTTAATTATAAATACAACTTTTTTAGGACTAGCATTTATTGAACACTTACATTAATAGACTAGGCACTACTCTAAACATTTAAACCCTTTATCCGTTATAATTTCTGTACTGACAGGTAGGTACTAATATTATGCCCATTATACAACATAGAAGAATGAGACAAAAGAGAGATTTGGGGACTTAATCCAAAGTTACAAAGCTAGGACACACAAACAAAGATTTAAATTCACAAGTCTAACTATTGCTTCCATAACAAAACAATGCACCTCTTATCCTTATAACATATGTATGATAAGACACAAAATGTACATATAAGCACTTTACCTATAATTAGAGGATAATGTTTGCATGGGACCATTACATTTCAATAATAAAATTTAAAAATTAGGCATAATATCTAATATGCTACACAAATCACCAAAATTAATCCAACAATCTACTTACGTTTGTACAAATATGACAAAAGTAAATGGTAACATATACTCAAGGAAAGCTCATGAAATAATTAGCCACAGTTTCTTTCAGGTTTACTCTTTATTAGTCTTATGAAAAATACAAAAGCTGGGATGAGATGAGGAAGGACGAGAAGGGAAATGAAGATATTGGGGTATAAATTGAAGGTACAAGCTTCCAACTGTAAGGTAAGAAGAACATAATGAACAAATGATGACTACTGCTACTGATACCATATTTAACATAGGAAAATCCTAAAAGTTATCATCATTAGAAAAAAAGTATTCTTAAAAAAGTATCTTTTTTTTCTTCTTATTTTATTAATATGAAAAAATGGATGTTAGGTTGAACCACTTATGGTAATTATTTCACATTATATGTAAATCAAACTATCAAATTGTACACCTTAAACTTCTACAGTGATATAGAGGATATGTCATATTGTGTCATACATCATACGATATAGTGATATCTCTATCAATCATTTCTCTATAAAAAGGGGATGGAAGGGGTATGTCCTAGCAAGCAAAGCAGGGAGTGAAGAAGCAGAAAGTATTCCATAATCTTCATTCCTCTTTTTTTTTTTTTAAAGATTGGCACACGCAGTGTGTCAGAGGTACTTGGCACATTTCCAATCACACTTTAGCACTTTGACCTGCACAAGTGAGTAAGGTGGAGTTCTTTACCAAAAGCTCTAGCAATTAGGCGTGGAGCTCTTCAAGTCTATCCACTAGCCAGAGAAACAGATCACAATAGGACTCCCTCACTAGCCATCCATACACACTAATACCAAAAAGGTCATAGACACAAACACCATTATCAGAAAAGTCACAAGAAATTAATCTGAAAGTGCCTAGCATTTTGATTTTTCATCACATACTGTTAATTTCTTTTAATTTACAATAAGATTTATATTTTCTATTTCTACCAAAACAAGGAATAAAATGCCAAACCTACATAGAACTTAAAAAATAAATAAAATATAAAAACCAGAAATTTTTACTAATAAGTGACTCCAGCTTAACTTCACACTAATAATCATCTTGTTTCCAAAGCAGCTGCACAGTAGAACCACTGGGGATCTTAAAAAGAGCCCAATAACAAGGTCACACCTAACCAAAAAAATTATTTAAAAATTTGGAGGTAGAGGGACCTCCCTGTTGGCGCAGCAGGTTAAAGCACAGCACAAGGGGGCTTAAGTCTGTTCCACATAAATTCGATCCCCGCCTGCCCTGGAGGAGATCCACATGGCGAGGCAGACCTCTCCTGACCCGCCCGCTGCTCCCCTCAGCAGTGTACTTCGACGATCTGCCTGTTCTGCACCTCACTCTGTCTTTGGTGAATCCTCTCACCCTCCGCATCTCTGGCCTGTACCCCAGCTCTGTACGAATAAATAAATCTTAAAAAAAAAAAATTTGGAGGTGGAAGTCAGTATCATTATTTTATTGAGACATTCAGGTTTTATTATTAGTCATTTTAACAATAATGTAACAATAAAACTATTTAATAAAAGGAGAAATTAAATGACTTATGTAACTTCTGTGTTATAATGTCTAAATCTAAATGAACTTTTGGAAAGCATTTAAATATCTCTAAAAATCTCCATTGATGTAACTTGAGTCTCACTATTATGCATTTAAGCTTTCAACTTTTCATATACAAAAATTTACACGAGAAACCATAACTCATTTAGTTGCCAAAACTTCTTAAAAATTAGAATTATCAACTGACACTTAGAACAAACAATCCTTGGAACTGAGACTATTTTACAGAGAAATCTATTAGGTTAATTTCTAAGACGATTTCTTAGAAATAATCATATACACCAAGTGATACCTAAAGATAAATTGTAATATGGTATAAATTAGAATTCTATACATTAAAGGTGATACCATAAGATATTCAATGGCATGCCTGATTGCATGCTACAGTGTTAAATGTAAGCCAATCAGAAAACAGTCACAAACAGTAAGTCTGATATACTTGAAACCTACTTGCAATTGTACTGAATTGTGCCGAAGACCTTCCACAATAGAAGAAAATCTGTCAATTTTTCTTTCTTCTCCAGCTGACGTTAAGGCTTCTAAAACTTCTTCAAGGCTATTGGAAATTTTTAATCCATTAATTAATGAATTTGTAAACAGATAACTCAAATGCCATAATACCACTAATGATTACTAAATTCCAGCCAATACTAAGCTACAGATAACATATTAAATGTAGTTTACAGAGTATATAGTACATATCAGTTTTCTAAGCATGTATGTGCTTCACCTATTCCTCATAACCCTAGGATGATGTTTATTTATCAGCATTATACTATCCTTACTGCACATCAGAAACAATGTGAATCATTTATAAGTGTTAATAAAGTATATAAATGTTAGTTTTTTCTGTAATTCTATGAGGTTAGTGCTATTATTACCATCCCACCTTATATATTAGAAAAAGTTTAAACAACTTGCCCAAAGTCTCACTTAAACTAAACAGCAGAACAATCATCTGAAACCAGTCAGTCTATGTAATGAGCACTATATAAATGCTCTCAGTTACAACATTGTACTTTCTCTCAACTCCAAAGTTGGATACATGTAAATAAATGAAGTTCTGATAGGAAAATATATGTACTAGTAAGGCATTATTGCCAAGTACAAACTACACAAGAAAAATATTTGTTCTTCCTTTAAAGAAGATTGTGTTAACTTGGGTATCACAGCAGCTCACAGTCTGGGTACATAAACATGTAGTTCTAGCATTATTTATATCATTTTGATACCTACTCTGAAATCAAGAAAAAAGTAAAAATATGGAAGTGAAGAAGAAACAAAAAAGAGAAGAAATAAAGAAAAATGGTAAATGAAAGGGAGAGGCAGGAAATAAAAGGAGAGAAACAGATAGGGAAGGAAAAGAGGACAAAAAGAGAAGGAATAGGAAGTAAGAGAAAGAAGAAAGCAGAGCGAAGAAAGAAAGGGAGAAGGGGGTGCAGCATAGGAAGTATCTTGTGCATCAGCATGAAACTGACTTTGATTTCTACAGTGCAATTAATGTGGGCTTTTGAAATGGAAAAGGCAAAGTGCTGAAGCTGTACCAGGCTCTGTTGCTGGATGGCACTAGGGTGCAGCATGGCCATCAGTACTGGCTCCAAGATGGCAGAGCCAGTGACAGTGCTGCCGGCTCACTCCACCAGTGAGGCAACATGAGCAGCTGAGCCCCACAGGTCCCAAGCCAGCAGGATCACCACAGGACGACTTTCATGTAAGTGCAGAATTCCACTGTAGTCAGAAGTCCGCCTACCCTTCCTTGAGAGGGTGGTTTCTGTTTGCTCTTTTGGTTGTACAGTTTTAATATGTTTATTCGTATTCAATTTTATTATTTAGTATATTTGTGTCACATGCAATTTCTTTGTAAATTATCTTAGGATACAGAAAATATATTAGATATGCATACTGATGGGTTTATTTCACTTTTTAGGTAACACATTTTATCCGTTTTAGCGACAATTTAATTTTTAAGAGACTCTTATAATTAGAAGCTAATTTTCTTTAAAAAAAAAAAAGAAAGAAAAGACTGTCTTTTTACCTTTGTACTTAACATATATGTAATGGTCTTTTAGTTATAGCACAAACTAGTAGGGAAAAATGTCATTAAAATTTAAAGCTTTAATGTATACTTTACAGTCAAAAATTATGGAACCTCAATCAATAAAGTCCTGTTTATTACATGTATCACTTTCCATACCATTTGAATATTTTTCAAGTTCTCATTTAAAGCTGTTTAATAGAGTTGATTTCAGAACAGTTTAAAATATGAAACTAGTCTTCTAGAGATATGTTAGTTGACGACTACTAAGTACTACTACTATATAATTTCTTTTTAGTCAGTAGGTATGAGCTACTTAAGTGTATTGTATTTATTTAAAGTAAAATCTAGTCTAAAATAAAACAGATGATGAAAACATTAAATGAAACAAACTGTATAAAAGGTTTACATAATTAGCGAAAAGGACTTACATGCTTTCTTCCCCTACAATGCACACTGCAGAGAGGAGTTTAACCACATCGGTCATCACATGTGGGTGCTCAGGATCGATGGCTTTGGCCAGTAAAGAAAGACTTCTCTCTTCACTCATAATTCTTTCCAATCCATACTACAACGTGTGGGAAATAAAAAGCCAGGAGTCGATTGAGAAAACTAACTTAAAGAAAAGACAGTTATACAAAAAGATAAATACATGTTTACCCTTAGGAAGGCAAGAGATAAGAAAATACCACACTAAAAAATTTATAGCAGTATTAATAACTTCTCAACTGTGATTCTGGCACAGTGTGACTGAGGGTTATTTCAATAGTTCCATTAAAGAAAGGCAAAGAAGGAAAGAATGACATAGAAATCTCTCAACAGGAACAGAGAAAATAGTCAGATGTTGATGCAGACACTGAAGCCTTGACAAGCTTACCTGAGGAAAAAAGGTTACTAAGAGAGGTGCTACCAAAGTAATGTATACATCAGCATTATCCCACAGAAATATAATGGAAACCATATGTACACTGAAAATTTATTTTTTAAAAAAAGTAAAACTAATTTTCATGAAATTAAACCAATATACCATTTTCAGCACAGATTAAAGTACAACATCGACTAGTAAGATAAGTTAGTTTTATTTTCCTTCTGAAGTCTGCAACATCCATTGTGCATTTTAAATTTACAGACTATAATTCAGACTAGCCACATTTTAATTTCTCATTAGCCACAAGTGGCAAGCATATTACAAAGTACAAGCCTAGATAGTCACAATTCATAAATGGACAAAAGCTGAAGTATAATTTGGGTAGACAGCATGCATACAATAGCATGAAGTGTATGTATTCTGATCCCAATGACACTTTATTGTGTAAGGATATTGCAGTATGAACACATGCTATAAGCGGTATGATTATTGGATAAGAACAATTTGTCTGCTACTTCTAAAATGTCACATCCTATTAAAAAGGAGTCATGTTAATGACTTAGCTTTTTGATTGAAGGATATATACATTTCTTAGAGCCCACTTACCATCTAAGGAAGGTAATTGTCAAATAACAGAAGATGACAAGAAGCAATAAAATGGTACTATCTATCTACTATGCATCCCAGAGGAACCTTCAAAAGCATTCGAAATAGATTGATTAGAATTACCAGTAAGCACTAAAGAAGACCTTAATCCCATTTACAGATCTATGAACTATAGCTTAACTCAAAATTAACATTAGACATAAGTGTCAAAGTTAAATCTGTAACAAGATTAGACCCAAATGCTTTGAACGCTATAAAATTCTCACAACCTTCCTGTCTTGTCCATGGCACTCATATAAAGAAGACTTTATACTGTGCTGAAACACTGCATGTGCTTTAAACCGCTTCCAGAAGAAAATGAGTGCAAAGGACGGAGAAAGGCCAAAGGCCCCAGGACATGCAATTTTTGGAGCGACTTCTATGCCTTTTTGGGAGGAAAGTTTCAGAAAAGACAGAAAAACAGCCAAGATATGTTCACTTTTGTAATGCTGAGGGCTATTGACAACTAGAAACAAAGAGTAGAAAAACAGGCATAAACCAGAGACCACAACATAACTCCATGATCCTTCCAGGGAATTGTCAGAGTGTAAAGCACCACTCAGTTGCAAATCAAAGTCAGTCAATCATTGATCAGAAGTACCAAAGGGCTGGTTCTGTCCTAGTAAGCCTAATGATTGAGTCAAACTTTGTTCCCACAGTTCCCCTTCATTGCCTACCAATGACTGTCCACAGTACCTGCACTCTGGAACCAGGGTATTTCAGTCTCTGAATGTCATTCAAACTGACTTCCTTCAACTCTCTTTATTAAGGCCTCTCCCCCTAAACCATCATGTGTGAAAAGTAGAGCAGGAACAACCTCTGATTTCCTGGTTTTGCCCAACATAAGAGAAGTCTGTAATTTTGCTAACATAAAAATGTGTAATATGCGTTTTAAAACTAAAATGAGGACATAGCACTACTCAGCATCTAGAACTACAAACAATGGCCCCCGACTTGTATAAACTTACTCCCATTTAATTACTAAACAGAACAAAAATGCTGATTTTCCATGAAACAGTCAACTCACCAGTATTGGCATTTAAAAGTACATTAAATAAAAGCTATTATGAGGTTAGAGAGGTGGTGACAAATTCTGGAAGGTCTAGGATGTCTCTCTACTGAATGTCAAGGTCCCACTCTGAAGCACATGAAAACACATGTGTTCTAAACTAAGGATCAATGTCACATTCCATTTGCATTCTATATGAGGCTCATTGTTACCTAATAAATGGAATTTCAGGCAGCTTAAAATATACTGGGCAGTGACAGGTTAAGTTATATGTCTGCATTGGAGGGCTAATACTTTCAAAATACTGGTGCCAGACAACTGCCCAAAGTGAGTTAATGTCAGTAGCAGATTAACATGGGTAAGGGGACAATTAGGAGTAAAGCAATTTCACAGTGGATGCCCACCTCAAAGCAACACAAAAATTTCACAAATCAAAATGAAGCCCCTATTAACTATATCAACTTCTCATCCTCACTTTCACTTTCTTCCAAAAAGTCTTCTCAAATTAAAGATCCACATGTCTGCTTAGTTTGGGGAAAAAAAAAAAAAAGTTCTCGGTCTTCCTCTACTCTCAGTCCATCACCAGTGAAGTTTTCCAATTCTGACATTCTCAGTAAAAGAATGCTATGCCTCTGTGTGTTAGGGCCTCTCCTATTTGTTTTTTCTCTTTTTCACCTACCACTTACAGGAGTCTACAGAAGTCTACTTCATGTATCTAAAAAATAACTATCATAGGACAGTGAGTCCATAAAGAAAGGACGCATGATCATCCTTGAAAATCATATGTGATTGGGAGAAAAAAATGTATCCATGGTCAAAAATAGAAAAAGTAGTTCTGGAAAATACATTAAATCAGTAAAAATACATTAGATTGATAAGGTAAAAATAATTAGACATACTAATTTTGCTACATTTAGTAAAAAGAAATGTTCATTACTTAAGCACCAGTACTTCCACATACAGTCAGTGAAAGGTTTAACCCTGAAAATAAAGGCAACAACACTAAAAATTAACAAAATATACAGATAATTCTGCTACAAAACACAAATCACATCACCACAGGTAAATGTCCTTGCCTACTGTCTTACAACAACTAAACACGTATCATTACTGCAAACATGATTCGGTAAACAAGTTCTGGGACTAAAGCTGAATATATGGCACAGGATTGAGCTATTTTCCGTAAATGACAGTATACAAAGAAGGAAACGGTGTCAGAGAAACCTAGTGCCAGTATTACTCTCTGCTAATCTGGCCTCTTTAAATATGCAAGCTGCTTGTTTACATATTATATTTACTCTCAGTATTACAGGTATTAAGTCTCACTGTTCCATTTAGGGCCTTTTATATATGTTTTCGTTAATTTCATTATGGAGTTAAATATCTAGACTACAAAAATTAAGCCATGCCAGCTTAATTCCTAGGTATTAAGTATCACAGCAGACAAGTAACATTCAAGTATGATTTCAAAGGTGATTTATGAGATACTTTTGAAAATTAACAAACAACGAAGGGAGACAGGAGAAAAAGAAATAGTTGTAGAGCAGGAAAAGGGCCCCTTCCGTCCCCAAGTTTCTTCTGTTACTTTGATACAGAATTTTAAAAATCAATACAATTCATTTTTTTCATCAGGTACTAAACACCATTCCAAAGCAATGCATCACTTCAGTGCAAATTCTGTATTATACAGCTCTTGTTCTCAAGAATGCTACATGAACTGGAGAAGCATGAATACAATTACATATTTACATACCTGTGTATTCATCAAGGCCTTTAGACATTGTATGACTTTATGTTGGTTCTTCTTTACTATTTTTTCTTGACTGCATTGGCATAAAACATCAATGTTAAAATTATAATTGAACATGCAAATGTAGCTTGACTGAATGTAATTATTAGCAATACTTACCTTTTCCCATGAATCAGTCTTTCCAAAATGTTTAGCAATAATCCAAGGCCTTCATGTCCAAAGCTTTCCACCCAACTGAAAAGGTGATAAAAATTTAATTCTATATTTATTGTTCTTGTCTGGAATATCACAATAATGCTATCACAAATACTTTATACTTTTTATATTCTAATCATAAATACAAGACTAATACCATACACAAAATCATTCAAGATTCATAAAGTTAATTATAAAATAAAGAGCAAAGATGGGATAGGCCATTGGTACTCTGACTGGAGGAGGGAAGACTCAGCTCTACATGAAGAAAGATTACTGAAGAAGTTAATCAAAATGTTGGAAAACTATTTAGAGAATTTCCCAAACCACTAAAAAGCATCTTTGTAAATGTTAAAAATTTCTTGCTTTAAAGATTATTATGTTTTAAATAAGTATTTCATTTTGACCAAAGCACCTCTATACCATAAACTCACTGACATAATCAGAGTACTGTATGTACATCACCACTGTTCTCCTCAATTACAGGAAAACCACCTTTGTAGAAATACAATTTGGTGATTCACAAAGCCTAGGACAATAAATAAGGTAAACATACCTTTAGATAAATAAGTATATATGTGTCTATGAGTGTGTGCGTATAGATACATACACACATGGTTTGGGCCTATGACTTGTGAGGCTTTCAAAAACAAC